GTTGTAGGAACATTTGGGATCGCAGATGGGAGTCCAGCTGCTACTTGGTGCTGCAGCCTCCACCATGGGAAAAGCCCTCGGCAACACATTCTTGATTGCCAGCATCACCAGGTTAGCTTGGGAGAAAAGGAAAGTGCTAGAAAAAGAGTCTTGGAAATCCACTGGCCTGTTTCAAAGAATTCAGTATTTTGGCAACATCACATATATTGACTTTTCTTTCTTTCTTTGGTAATAAATGCTGAGAAAGATTCCAGTGATGTTACTAGGACTGCTCACTGCTTATCTAGCTGGTGTTTTATGTTTCCTTGTTAGACTATCACTATGTATAAATCCAGGATTGGCTCGCCTGTGCGTTCACAGATATTTTTAGATCACATTTGAATGATCTGATATCCTGTTCCATTTCTCCTAGGTCTCTGCATGGGGTGGTTATGTTTTCATCATCAACCTTATTCCGCTGCATGTGTTTGTTCTGTTGCTGATGCAGAGATACAGCAGGAGGGTGTACATTGGTAAGTGAGGTCCTTGAAATGTGCTCTTCACTGAGCAGCCTTTGTCAAATGCTAAATCATGATATATGAAACCAATTATGCCTATGTCTTGCATTAGGTGACAATGAAGTAATTCCGTGTCGGCTTGCATTTTTATTAGGCTGACTGCAGATGATAATTGATTATTGCCTGCAAAATGGAAATAGGGAGTTGTTCACATTGTTCACATTTCCAAAACCTCAGCGATATAATAGCCCATTCATTTTCTCACCTTTCTAGCGCACTGAGATAAAAAGGAAATAACTAGATGATTTGATATTTCTAGAAGCATTTTAATATTTTTATCAAATAATTATATAAAAATATTTCATTTTCCTGCCTCTTCCTGGTATGTGACATAATCGCTATTTTTAACAAAGATGTGCAGCAAAAATTACACAAGCACTACAGCATCCTGTGACATATGTGGGAAAAGGCATAGGAAATTTTAAACACCAGCATAATATTTATATAACCAAGACTAAAAGCAGCTTAAGCGTCTGTCCAATACACATGAATCCTTAAGATTTTATTGGGATGATGGATTGGTCTTCCTCCAGTTACAAGCATATGCGCATAGTGATCTTTGGAGAGTAATTTTGATTTGCCTGATATTCAAATACTCTGTCAACAGTTTATATGGATTTTACAAGTTAAATCAGTTGGCTGTGGAATGAACGTATGAAATAACAGGAAATTTTAGCATTCAAATATTTATCAGTTAGTACATTTTTGGCTACAGTAGATATAAATAATATGAGCTGAAGTGTAAAATTTCACAATGTTTCATATTTGCAAATGTTTTGTGCTTTTAATTTTTTTAAGTCTTTTTCCAGTGCCAGCCATAGAAATTACTAGTTTTACACATGTATTTAAACAATTAGATGCTGTGATGTTTGCTCAAGTTCATTATGAGAGTTTTCCTGTTTTTACCCCTCCTACCTCTTTATTTTGGGAGGGGGAGCAGGGGAAGGCAGCGAAAAAAAGTGCTGACCCTCTAATTTTTAATCATTAAATTTGTTAGGTTCTTCATAACAAAAAGGGGGAGTAATTCATCTTGTTTTGCATTTCAAATTGGTATATTGAACATTTTCATTTTCCAATTTCTGTGAATGAAGCATGAGAAGCAAGAGAAACTGAAATCCCTTATAAAATCCAAAAGGGACGTGATAACTAGAAACAAAAAAGATTAAGTATTCTTGCTTTTCAGCTTTCAGCCTAATGAACTAGGCTTTGAACTTCTCTGGGGGAAAATAATGCTGCTAGTTCAATAAAAGTAAAGGTTTTGAACATGCTTGTTTTGTGAACAGCTACAATTTCTTGAGATGTCACTGTCCCTCGTCTGCGAGGGAGCTACAGTTCAGAGTTGTTAGAATGAAAATGTGTTTCATTGCACTGCTGGCTTCATTTGAACTGCCTTGGCAAGCCTTACACATCTTGCATCTATATGTGAAATGTTTGTTTAACAGGATGTTTTTGTAAAATAGGTAAGAATACTCAAGCATTTCTGGGAAGAAATGAAATTATACTTCCCTAGGCTGTTCGGATAAGGGGAAGAGTTGGCAAAAGCTCATGAAATCAGGGAGAGTAGAGATATTGGATTTGCTAAGTGAGTGCAGAAGTCTCTAAATTTTCCAAATTACTGATGTGTAGTTAAAATTGCTTGCAACCTATTAACAGGTGGCAGTAGCTCGTAAAACCTGCATCCATAGAATTTTTACTGAGTTGTTGGGGGGGTTGTTTGTTTTAAATTCTAGGTGGGTTCCTTAATTTTATTGTAAAGTAGCATAATCCTGTTTTTTGGAATTGAAGAACAATTCATCTAATATAGTAGAAACTATTTGGAAAAGAAGATATTTGGCAGCATGCAGATTTTTAAAAATCAGAGATACTGCCTTGAGAAATACTTTTCATGCAGAGTCATATACCAAAGAAAAGATATAGTGGACATAATCTAATGAGTAGCATAGTTTAGAATCATTTAATGGGTTAAAATATTTGCCAATTTAAGGTATTTTGTGATGTGCAGGGAGATGAATACATCAGCTAGGTCATATCTGACCTACTTGGTGGCTATGCTAGTGCATTTCAATGCATGAAATTGTTCATTTTAGATTGGATTTTTGGTTTTGTTGGTGTTTGTTTTTCTAAGTCTTGACAGTAAGATCAACTAGCTTACAATTTCAGTGCATTAGCAACATTTGCATAGGCAAAGTAACCTGCATATTCAGATGCAGAAACTGCAAATATTTTCTGTTGTTGTACTTGTTGTTCATATTGTAGTTTATCGTGCATTTAAAATGAAAATGGTTTTGTATTTGGGAAGGGGCCATCCAGTTTTAGGTCGTTAGCATGCACCTCGAAGTAATTTTTCTCCTCCAGCAACTTGTAATTTTTTTTCTGTGCAATATTTATGTTCTTTGTGCTTTTCAAAATATTCCATAGCAGAAGCACTTATGGATCTTCCAGAATTTAGAACTTAATTTCAGTAATGTGTTTCTTCTCCTCGGTGGTGGGCTTCATCATTTGAGTGGTGTTCGGGCATGTGTTTCTCACCTTCTCCCGCGTTCGAAAGTTTCAGATGATTAGCGCTCGTTTCTGGTGCTTACAATACATCACTTGACAGCGTGTGCCAGGCTGTTTGCTGAGGTACTTTAGATAAGCTTCCCTGTGGGTTATTCTCATGGCTTTGCAGTGCGCAGCAGCTGAAATTATCAGCCCTTCTTAAAATGGCTTTACCATTTTAGGTCAGTAGGTCAGTTGTGCTTGACCTAATTAAAGTGATCAGTGCGGATTGCACGAAGCAAAATGAAGTCGGAGTTTTTGTGAAGGCTGTGCAAGCAGCAGAAGGTAAAGGAGCAGGGGAAGTTTGTGATCTGTGTCACCATGAGGTATCGAGCTCCTAGCAAAGCTTCCTTGCTGGGTACACTGGCTGTTTTTTTCAATCCTAGGCAGCAGATGTGGTAGCCATTTGAAAGAGATGGAAAGTAAAGGATGCTTAAAAAAAATGGAGGGGGGACATAAATAATAATGGAATAGAAAATAACAGTTTTAGGACCGGGCTTACAGCAGTGCTGTACAGTGTCTGTGTTTAACAAATGTGAAGTGTAGCCATTAATGCCAAACACTGGAGTGCCACAGGATGGCGGTGTTGTAACACCCTCATGATGCAGTGAGTGATTTGTGCTGCAGTGAATTCCTCGAAAATGGAATTTGATATAGCAAAAACATATTCCGGTGACATCAGAGGGGATAGATCTCTAGGTAGGCCAACTGCTGAAACACCAAGGCTGGAAAGACTGCCAGCGAAGGTGGCAAGTGGTTGAACCACCGCCGGTCATTTCTGGTGACGTTCGGCAAAGCATAAAGTACCCCGCCACCATAATCCCTGAGGGACACCAGCCAGCTACCGTGAGAGCAGTACTGCTGGTAAACGTGTCATCTCCAGACCTCCCCACATGGAGCTTAGTAGGGGACTGTGTGAGATCAGGAATCTCCTCACAAAGCTGAGACCGCAACAAAGACTGTGGGGCCTGTCATTTGTAGGAGCCTAAGAAAATGGGGGAAGTAGATTTCCTAAGTGGGTAATGGATGCTCTGACGCGTCTTGCTGCCCTGAGGCCCTTTCCCTTCCGTCTTTTCTCATATAGCAAACATCTACAGCAAGATCTGAGACCTCTCGTTTCCTTCTCCCAGCCTCACCAAAGCAAGGAAGCAAAAGAGGAAGAGGAAGTGATTTCCAAGCTAGAGTGTCTTGGGAAGATGGTTTAAATCCTTAAGCATAGGAGAAAAAAAAACAGTGCAGTTAGGAACAATGAGAACTTGCTGCTTTCTCTAAAATTGGGTGCAATATTGTTGCACTGATCTAAGATAAAGAAAAATAATCAGTGCAGCCAAAATATTTTAAATTACACAGTTCTGTATGTGCTACTGCAGTTTGGGGAAGGATGATAGACTCAAATACAAAGTCAAGACTTTTTGTAATTTGTGAACTCACTTTCTTCCCACCCTTTTCTTTCTTCTACCCCTTTTTCACAGCATATAGCACTTTCTACATTGTGGGTTTAATATTGTCGATGCAGATACCTTTTGTGGGATTTCAGCCCATTAGAACAAGTGAACACATGGCAGCTGCAGGTAAGAAAACCAAATATCTTTGTTTCCAAACAAGCTGTTCAACACAAGAAAATCCCAAATTCAGGTGTGTCTGTTTCTTTTGATAACAAATAAAATGTTAAAGGGGGGAAAATAGAAGTGCTGTTTAGTATCAGTGGGGAAATTTTCTTCCCAATTGACACATTATCCTTTGTGTGATTTAATGGAGATAAAACGCTTCACCGGCACTGGAGCCGTTTGTCATTCTGACAAGCCCTTATTTTACAAGTTCATCATCTCTACTGTTTTGCAATATAATGATGCCTTCAAGCATTGCACAAATGAAACATTTGTTATTGATAAACAGTTTTTACTGAGCAGTTTGTTTTGGAGTTGGTCTTCAAAGATAATTAGATACAAATGACTTAAATTGCTATTCAACGAAGACTTTTAAATTACTGATTTTAATCTCGTTCGATTTTTCTTTTCTTCAAAGAAGATTAAGTTTCAATAGTTGTTAAACATTCAGCCATCTTGGTCTCTTGTCAGTGATGACCTTTATCCTAGATCTGATTTAACTAAGACCATATACTGTTTGTGAGTTTATAGCATAGCTTGTTAGATTCCCCACTCTTACAAAAAGTTATTTATCAAGTTGCATTCAGGGCAGTAATTGGCATATCATTAAAATGAACCAGAACAATATTTAAAAATTCTTAGTTGAGTGATGGTCCTTTTCATTTTCTGAAAGAGTACTTTTCATGCTCCTTTTTGGACACAGGTATACGTATTTTTTTCTAACTCAAATATAGCTAAAGATGTCACCTGTTACAAAAACTAGTGATGCATTTTTAGCATTTGAACAGTAACTTCCCTCTTTTTTTAGGTGTTTTTGCACTGTTGCAGGCGTATGCCTTTCTGCAGTATCTGAGAGACAGATTAACCAAGCAAGAGTTTCAGACACTCTTTTTCTTGGGCGTCTCATTGGCTGCTGGGATTGTGTTCCTGAGCGTCATCTATTTGACATATACAGGTAAATAACCTCCCTGTGAAACTAGTTTTTCCACAAAGCAGCTAACCCAGGGGATCAATGGTTTGTTTAATCTAGAGTAGGTGTTAGCAACCCCAAAGCAAAGCTCTGCCCATGTTATTTATTCTTTCTATCTGAACTCATAGTGCTTCCTGTTGGTGGGTTGCAGGATGCTTTCCTAGGAAAATCTGTCGTTTCCTGTCAAGGGAATGTTAGCGGTGTTCCCATAGTTTCTCTGATAAAACAGAAGGGCAATGAATGCCAGGATTGGTTCCCCAAAAGTAATGGGCTTCAGCATGACTAAAGGAAAAACTGGCCTCTAATTTTCATTCAAACTTAAGCTAGCTGAAAGCAAGGCCCTTCAAAACTCAGCCGAAGTTTTATGCATGCTAGAGGAATTAAAGCTTTTAAATTGTCTGAAGATCAAGGATTAATTTTGTGTTAAGATAGAGTACATCTAGAACTAAAGAATGAGAGGTAATGAATGTTTTTAAATGTGTGTATATGTGTGAATAATTCTGTCATTACTGAAAATAAATGTGGGTACATGCAAATATATTTTGCGTAGATGGCTCTATAGCATCATTGCAGTATTTCAAGCTTGTCCATGATCCACATTATGATCATTAGACTGCAATGAAGAGTGTAACTACAGTCAGTCTATTATGAAGATAAGCATATATATTATGAAGATAAGCATTATGAAGATAAGTAATACTGTGGATAGCATTGATACACAGGGATCTTAAAACTATAAAATTACTTGCTTTCTGAAATACTTGACGCTGATCTCTCTGTGAGTGGCATTCCACTACACCCACCAGTTTTGCCTTACAGCCTCCAGTGTTTGCGGCGCTCTGTCCAAGCTCACAAACACAAGGTCGTCCCGGCTCCCTTGTAGTCCCCACATGCCTCAGTGCTGCCTTTTGGCTTTGTGGCTGTTCTCTTGGTGATCTAATACCATACTTTCTTCCCCTCATTCCCCTCATCAGAAAAAGCTCTGTTGTTTTTTCTAATTAAATATGCTGCTGACTATGCCCGGTTCCCTTTTCATTCTTCACGTGCTCAGAAATACATTTGAGGAGGTTGTGCTCCCAGGGCCTCAGGCTACTGCCTGTAGCCCCATGGATATTCTCTTGCCTTTCATAAAGGTGCAGCATTAGCCACTTTATAGGCACCAGGGCCCTCCTTCTTCAGGGGGAAGATGCGGAGAGTTGTCACAGCAGCCACCTCTGTCAGCATCCACCGATGAATCCTGTCTAGTCTCATGTTCTAGGTACCTCCAGCTTCTTTCTCTGAGAAGCTGATAATCTGTTGCTCCCCATCTGTTGACAGCTCCTTCTCCTCCTTGTGCAAGCAGCAGTTTGGGAGCCAGCTTTGCCCCTAAAGGCTGACAGGAAAAAAATGGTGTCTTATCATAAAACAAGAACCCAGATTTTCAAATATCTAAACAAGATATTAAGCTAAGGTGTTCAGTAAGGTTATATCCCAGACAGAAGCAAGACTTACTGCTTTATGCGCAAATCTCTTAGGTAGTAAGAGAATCTAACTTTTTGGTGCTTCAGCTTGTCTGTAGAAGTATGTAGAGGAAGCTGAAACAGCAGTCAGGAAAGTAGGAATAAATTTTAAGAATCTCAGTAAATTTTCATCTCCCATATATTTTTTTTGATATTCATATATGTTGAGGCTTGGTTTAACAAAGCTTTACATAAAGCTTATCAGAATGGCTGCTAGCGATAAATTTTAAGAATCTCAGTAAATTTTAATCTCCCATATTTTTTGTTCTATGATATTCATATATGTTCAGGCTTTGTTTAACAAAGCTTTACATAAAGCTAGCAGTTTTAGTATTCTGTGCAACAAACAGATACATCAATAGAGAAATAGCATAAAACAAGTGTGTAACTGAGCATCAATGGCGTGGCTAAAAATCGTCATTCCCAGGTTCCAGCTCAGGCATTCAAAAAGTATGAATTAATTTCTTATCAGTTATGTGCTCTTTTTATTATAGTTCTTTACTGAGTATAGTTCTTTACTGATCTACTTCTTTGGGAAACATTTTAATTATTGTTGCATTGCTTTCATCATGATTTTTGGGGAGGACGGTGTTTGCTACTGCATGTTGAACTGGTGCAAGGTGCTCCTGTGAGAGTGCATTCTTACAAAACCAGATCTGTGGTTGGTATACTGCCTTGTGTGGGAAATCTCATTGCCATATACCCAAACATCTAATGAATTATTTTCTGCTTTTGTGTTACGAAGCCATCAGGGTGTTTAGGTGGTGCCAGAATTTGAACAAGCAAAAAGAATTATGCATTTAAATGCCCAAGCAGAAAAAAAAAAAAGATTTTTCTCTTTGACTGTTTCAGGTTATATTGCTCCTTGGAGTGGCAGATTTTATTCATTGTGGGACACTGGGTAAGTAGGGATAAAGGATGATATAAGCATTAACTATCTAGAGCATTCTACTGAAAACTGATACTTGCTCCTTTGCTCTCCTCATTCTCAAATACTTTTGTGTTTCCAGTAGGGAAAATATAGGGGATTTCAATTGGTTGTCCAAAAAGAGCATTGGTAGCAACAGTTTCAAAATTTTTGCAAGCATTTACCTTTGTCAGTGTCTTCAAAATGTCTTCCATGGAAGTCTTGACATGTGATGGTATATTCTTCTATGTGAAACAGTAATGCTTCTTAGCATAAAATAACTAAAAGTTACATCAGCATTTTACAGATTTAAGCTGACTTGGAGCCTTCAATTTAGTTGTTTTCATAGTGCAACATGTTACAAAATCACTAAGATGTTGCACATACATTCTTGTGTGTTGCCTGTTTATTATATTTCTGCACCTGTTTGTGGATACAGATGTCTGCTCTGAACAGCTCTGGGTCATTCATGTGTATGGCTGTGGGTGGGTTTTTGTTGAGTTTGTGTGTGTTTTTTAAGTTAACCTTTAAAAATCCAGCATTTGATTCTTTAACTGCTTAAGTAATGGAAAAACTGAATAAAACTGTATTCATACATACAGATATTGTGTAGATAATTTTTCAGATGGATTCAATTGATAGTTTTTAGGATTAAAACTAAGGATAAGGAGAACTTTTACATTTCAGTGTATCTTTCGCACTCAGAAGTCTAGCTCGGTGATTAAATGTGGCAGAATAGACGTCAGCAGCAGAAACCTCACGTTTATTTGAAGAACATACAAACGTTCTTCGTTGCCTATCATTGAAGTGGTGTCTCTATACGTACAAAGCATCAAACTTTTGAGGGCTTGTCTACATTAGAAAATCATATTGCATTCAAACCCGTGAAGGCCATTTGGAACAAGACCTAGATCTCAGTGAAGAAAAGGACATATGTTCAATACCTCGCCCTTTGCTCCGCTCTCGCCCCAGATTAGGTCTCTGTGTGTAGCCGTCTTTTAATGGAGAACATGTTTCTGTCCTTGTCCGCACTGAGTGTTCAGCGTGTTGTTCAGTTCACGTGTATTTCCAAGTGTAGACAAGGCCTGGTTTTTTTTCAGTATCTGAAAGAAATTGGGTGCAACCGTAGTTGGCCTGGTAGTTAGTGCGTTAACTTTTATGTATGAAGAAAATGCAAATATTATTTGGTAAAGGAGAGATTTTCAGATTCAGCGTTGAAAGCTTAAAGAGACTTATTCTCATGATTGCAATGACTCCAGAATGTACTCATAGCTTCCATAGCTGCTTATTTTCATGTGGGTGGATTTGGCTTGGTTGTTAGCCATTATAGAACAAAAAATCTGTAACTTTTATTCTTTTAGCTAGTATGAAAATAAGTCTTTATATTGGTGTTTTTAAAATAAATTTGTACACGCAATAGTTTGTAAATACAATAGTACATGGGACATTTTTTGGTATAAAAGTTTCATTTCAAATGCTGAATAAAGCATTAACACTTTAAACTGCTTCCTTTTAAATGAGTTTCAGAATTCCTAATGTTTACAAGTTTTAATAATTTCATCTTTTCAAAATAATTTGAACTGAATTTTTTTTAAAAAAGGTATGCGAAAATTCACATCCCGATCATTGCCTCTGTGTCTGAGCATCAGCCTACAACATGGGTTTCCTTCTTTTTTGATCTGCATATTCTCGTGTGTACTTTCCCAGCAGGGCTGTGGTTCTGTATCAAAAACATCAATGATGAAAGAGTCTTTGGTAAGAGAAAATATTTTTAAATTGTTTTGCAAAATCTTGTTTTTAACTCGATTTTATTTTATTGTCTTTGCTCAAAGCTAGCTTGTATTAAAAAACAAATAAGGTTTAAAAGTGATGTGTTTATAGATGATTTTTGGGGTGCCTGCACCAAGCAGTAATTCAGAACGGCGTCTGAATGCCCCGTTCACGCGGAGCGTGGTGGGATGATGATCCTGCCTTCCTGGGAGGGGGGAGCGCAGCGGCTGTGCCCGGGGCTGGCGCGGGCAGCGGCCGCGGGAGACCCCGGGGCACCCGGCTCGCGCCCTGGCGCTTGTCCAGGCGCAGCAGGTGCTGCTCAATCACCTGCCTCTTCCCACGTTTTCTGCTGTTTTCTGCTGCGGAATCTTGCTGTGGAGCAAGCGCCAGTTAAGACTTAAGTCTGAGGTTTGGGGCGTTTTGGTGTGGGGTCTCCTGGGGTTGGTGGCAACGCACTGATGTTTGTATGAACCTGTACCATGCACAGCACCCTTGGATGAGGTTTCTGAGGGTGTGATGTGGCATTTTAGCCAAACGGGAGTGATGAAGATCCCTCCAAAGCAGATGTGCTTTTAGTTTGGGGCTTTTACAGGGTCACGAGCCCTGGTCTTTTATTGCTGCCCCATAGGGTTACCCTATGGCTGCTCCACAGGATAACCCCATGGGCTGTGAAAACATTTACTGTGTTAAATCCTCTGACCCTGGAATATTTTTCTCTGTGGCTTGCAAAGACCAGGGCCAGTGAACTCCTCAGCTAGGGCCAGGGATCTTAGGGCCTCCTCTTGCCACATCATCCGTTTAAGTCAGCGTAGAGAGCCCCATGAGGGAGCTTGGAGAGCCATACTGCTCAGCTGCCACCTGGGGGATGTTTACGTAATGCCAGCCAAATCTCATGATTTCCATGGCAAATCTTTCACAAAAAATAAAATTAAATTAAAATGAAAGTGCAGCAAGCTAGCAGTAACCACTGTTACTTGAAGAATAGATTTTTCTTAACTAATGCATACAGGACTCTGTTTTTCTTCTGAGAAAAGTGTCCCTAATATTTCTACTGTTCCGCAAGTTTAATTCTGTCATTTGGAAGAATGGAGATAATATGGTCCAGGGGAACTTAGTCCAGGTTAGGGCTAGCAAAATTGCATTATTTTTCTGTATGGAATTATAATGTAGACAAGCCCCCAATTTGTTCACAGGTATCACTTAACGGAAATTTTATTTTGATATTTATATGAAATTCTAACTCTGCCTTTTGCTTTTTTCAGTTTCTGTAACTTGTCTGGTCTAGGGCCTTTTGATCATTTTAATCAGAGAAAACTACTTGTCATGTTTAGTGTGTGGCATTAAATTTCGCTAATCTTTTCTGACAGATTATTAATGAATATCAAAATGGAGGGGTAGCAGTTATCCAGATGGGTTTCAGGAGAGCCCTCGTGCTTAAAAGGGATCATATTGATGCGCTGTATCTCTGTAAATTAAAAAACAGTAACATGAAAAAAATCGTTGCTGAAATCTTTGTTTAAAGACATGCTCAACGCACTTCCAAAATGAGCTTTATGGTGAGCGTGCCCCTGTGCCTTGGGAATACAGTTTTGTGCATGTCACCAGCAGGTTTGTTTCTCTGCAGTGGCTCTGTACGCGATCAGCGCCGTTTACTTTGCCGGGGTGATGGTTCGCCTGATGCTCACGCTGACGCCCGTGGTCTGTATGCTCTCTGCCATTGCCTTCTCCAATGTCTTTGAGCACTATCTGGGTGACGATATGAAGAGGGAAAATCCGCCCATAGAAGACAGCAGTGATGAAGACGACAAAAGAAATCCAGGAAACCTGTATGATAAGGTGAGGGGAAGGAGCAGAGGTTGGCTTCTGCCTCACTGGCTTGACAAGTGTTTAAAAAACAAAATCAAGTGTGTGTGTGTGTATACATATATATATGTATACTAACGCACATACTAACACTAATATATGTATGTGCTTATATATAAATATCAGTGTCAGTATGGAAGGGGTTCCTTCTTGCTGAGTAGTGCTAAGCCTTTAACCTACAAGTCTGCAGTGCTGATCAGGGTTTGCAGAGATGGCAAACAGCTGCTTGCTGTTCTTAACTACTTACAGCAGTTCTGTGTCATTGAATGATGTCCCTTTTTGGTCTACGGGGTTTCTTCTGGGACAGAGTGAAATTAAAAGATAATGTATCTTATGGAAAGATTTTCCGTGCATAAATACTCTCCTTCCTGAAGCTGATGATATTCGTTAGAGCCTGGTAATATATTAGGCTCAGACTTTCCCCCCTTCCTGACAGTAGCTATCTGGATCTTCCCTCTTCCACAATATGTTTTAAGAGGATATCATCACACTGGGTCAGTGACATGCATCAACCCTCATATAACAACCATCACCATCTTCTGAAGGAGGCTTTCTGTGGAGAACCCATTTTGACAAGTAGCTGGATTGCCCAAGTGCTCTTATGCATAACCAGTTCACACTACACCTTGGCCTAGCTTTTTCCATATCCCATAACATTTATGGGATGTGGTGAAGAAAAAGCCAATTCCACTGTCAAGGGTTGAGTATTATTCACATAAAAGTTGCCCTAACAGATGTGTTTTTGTTTGTTTAGGCAGGCAAAGTGAGAAAGCATGTATCTGAACAGGAAAAAACAGAAGAAGGACTAGGCCCCAATATCAAGAGCATTGTTACTATGCTGATGCTGATGCTGTTGATGATGTTTGCTGTCCACTGCACCTGGGTAACTAGCAATGCATACTCCAGCCCTAGTGTTGTTCTTGCTTCTTATAACCACGACGGGTAAGTAAGGTCTGCAGGTCTGAAACCAATTCCTTCATGGCATTAGTGATTTTTTGCTTGGCCTTCTTTTAATTAATTTTAACTATATTCAGGCACGATTGTCACTTGAATGAAAAGCTTTTAATACTCTACTCTTAGAAAAAAACAGGCAAATGACAAAAGCTTTAAATAAAATATTTTATATAAATACATAAAAATAATTTGAAGTGGGTAAAGATGATAATATATTTTGTGAGTATGTAAGAGTCAGTTGGGAAAACTTGCTTAGGAATATTTATTCAGCTAGGAGTGAATTTGGTCATAACTCCAAAAATCATTTGTCTTGTGGCCATCCAGCTGTCTGGGCTCAAACCCTTGAGTGCAGGTTGGTGACGTAATTCCTGTGGAGGAACTGAATGTCCTGGAAGGTCTTGCTGGAGAACCCAGGCTTAGTGCAGTGCAGCTAACTCGTTGCCAATATTAGTGTTAATATTAATAAAATAAACTCTGTTTTTCAGTACTCGGAATATTCTAGATGACTTCAGAGAAGCCTATTACTGGCTGAGGCAGAACACAGATGAACATGCCAGAGTCATGTCGTGGTGGGACTACGGCTACCAGATAGCGGGGATGGCAAACCGGACCACCTTAGTTGATAACAACACTTGGAACAACAGCCACATAGCACTGGTGAGGGTGACAATTTCCTGTGGAATAGAAACACCAAAATGTTTGCATGTTCAAAATCAACCAATTATTGGAGTCAATCTTTGAGCACAGAGTCCTGTAAAAACCTGTGTTCTAGGGGAAAACTGTTGTATGTACATGATTAATATATGTTAAGGGTTTAATTAAGGGGATTAATAAATGATAAGGGTAAGAAACAAGCACTAGTCACAAAGAAAGCTTGGGAAATGGCTCTCTGGTGCTAGTATTAGCCTAAGTCAAGGCGACATTCTGCTGTTCTGGTTCTTGACTTGTCACTGTTAGTATGTTTTAGAGATCTGCCAGATTTGAATTTTCATCTATGTTCTCCCCTTTCTGCAAGAAGTAATATTTTCTGTCATGCAAACCAACAGATCCCTGCAGGAGAGGAATACGGGGTTGCCCCAGAGGATAGGGAACGGTCAGCTGTAACTCATAAGCAGAGCAGCCTCCCGCTGTACCGCAGTTAGCAGTGATGGTGATTTAATAAGGAGAGCTCTCCAGCGTAGCTGCTGGCCCAGCTGGTTTCTGTTTCTAAACGAATATTCCATAAAGAAGAGGACTGAGCAATAAACGTATTTTAGAGAAAGTCCTTGAACGTGAGGCACACTCCAGAGATATTTGCCAGGTGACTTCCTTCTGCAAAGAAATGGAAATCCGCCGAGTAACTTCCCATAAACGTATTTTAGAGAAAGTCCTTGAACATGAGGCACACTCCGGAGATACTTGCCAGGTGACTTCCTCCTGCAAAGAAATGGAAATCCACGAATAACTTCCCACTGAGTAACTTCCCAGTTTTTGCGGGTAGCAGCGGAGAAATTGAAGTCTTTTTTTGACAGACTGCAATTCAGGTTTAGCATTTCCTAATTAAGTTTTTGACTTAACTGAATGGTACCAGTATGAATGTAATAGTATCTATATTGTAGCTGCACCCTCTTACTACAGAGATATGTTGTTATTTAAGTGCAGGAGCCTCAACGGGAAACAAAATTACTGAACTGATGCCAGAATTCCTCTTCCTGCTCAGGAAAAGAGGCAGTATGAAGGAGGTTTTTGGATACGAGGTGGTTTTTGGATACAAGAGGTTTTGGATACAATGATTCAACAAAACCACAAGAAGGTTGTTTCTGGGGATGTGTGTGAGACCATTTTTAATTAAATGATGCAGTTCTGGCATTTTGTCTGCATGAACTTGCCCCAGATTCAACATTGAGGATGCCTGCATGCTGCTGAGGAATGCACGTGGCTGTTTCCTTAGGAAAGGACAGGGCTCAGGGGAGGGAAAAAAGATCAAGCAATTACTAGCATTTCAAATGATTTATTAACGTTAGACTGTGTCTAAACCCTCAATTGGGTACTTTATGTGCCACAAAAAGCAGGCCGTAAGGCTACATCTTATACTCAAAACCTCACTTCAACAAATATTGCTTGTCTTACAAAGGAGAAAATATTTCTGTTTAGGTTGGGTTTTTGAATTTCTAAATAGCTACAATGGGCTTCCTTTATTGAGAATTCAAGGATGGGCTTTGCTTGCTGAAGTGTATGTTTTTGGACTTCAGCCTTGCAGGTTGTTGATCTGAGGATCTGCCCTGTCGCAGCTGCACAGCTGCTTAAAAGGTGTTTTGCTCTGCGGCAGGTGGGGAAGGCCATGTCCTCGAACGAGTCGGCGGCGTACGAGATCATGAGGAGCCTGGACGTGGACTACGTGCTCATTATTTTCGGCGGCGTCATTGGCTACTCCGGTGATGATATCAATAAGTTCCTGTGGATGGTGAGAATAGCAGAGGGGGAACATCCCAAAGACATTCGGGTAGGTGGACAGTCTCACTGGAGTGCTTTGGGCTGACTGCATTTTTTTGTTGTGCTTGTCTCAGTATTTTAGTTTATTTTAACCCTTGCTTATGTAGTTGTGTTTTTGGTGGTGCTTATCACAGTAGAGGGAAATGTGTACTACATACTGCAATTTTATTTGAAAAATATGTTATGGGTTGTTTTCCTAGAACAGTAGGAGTGCAGAGACCTGTAGCCCAGTTTCTTTCAATATTTATGGTTTTGAAAGGTCAGTAACCTCAAAAGCTTTTTACTTTTTTTGCATGATACTAAAAGTACAGGGTATCTTCTGTAATGCTCGTGTGTCTCACCATGCACCTTCATCCTTTTTTTAAATAAAAAAGGAAGCATGTTCAGAATGCTTAAGTAGCTGCATTTTGGGGTTCTTCAGGCCCTGTAATAAGTAGGAGGCAAGCTGGAGTGTGAATATTTACTTAAGTAGAATTTAAGCTATTCAAATACTTCAGAGATTGCAGAAATCTGTAGTAATATTTGTTCAAGGCTAACCAAAACTTCTAGGTATTGAGCACAGGCTTAAGGGAGTAGCCTCTATGAGTCATTTTGTTTTGCCTTGTGCTAGAAAATGAAAATTTTTCTTTAGACACTGTGCACACATAAATTTTATAGTAACATTGTAAACCTGGTATATTCACAATGCAGTGCTTTTCACCTTTTTAAAGAGTAATTTTGGTAGATGCCAAACTAACATTTCTTATTCATATTTAGATTAGCTTTGCGCGCGCGCACACACACACACAAAAAAAAAATAAAAAAAAAGACAAAATATGTCCAGGAAAATAAAATGTTTTAGGGAGATTGTTCCATTGGGTTTGGGCTGTGAGCAGGTGGTTTTACTTTGTCTGAGAGACATGAGACAGCTTTTTTTTTTTTTTTTTTTTTTTTTTTTTTTTCTTCCAGGCTAGGTTGAACCACAGGGTTTTGTGGAGAAAAGCATGAGAAATGACTGTGAAGGGGAATTGCTTTATCTTGATGTTTTGTTTCATTTCCTTTTTCAAAGGAAAGTGACTACTTCACCCCGCAGGGAGAGTTCCGGGTGGACAAGGCAGGTTCCCCAACGCTCCTCAACTGCCTCATGTACAAAATGTCCTATTACCGATTTGGAGAGATGCAGGTTAGTGGTTAAAAGTCCACAAATCTTGGCTAAAATAGGAGAAAACAAGTGCTATTTTGATGCATTTTCCATCTTTTAATTACTGAGTGTTGTTTATGTTACCTCTCATGCTGCTAAGAGACAAGCATGGTCTCCAGGCAGCCCATAGAGAAAAGCTCCTGTGCTGTCAGCCCAGACTTGCACTTGGCTTTTTCTGCCCTTCCCATGGCCTCAGACAAGCCCCTCAGTTTGGTTACACAGTGCCCCTTGCTCGGGTGTTAACAATTGGGTTGTGGGAGGGTTTATGCTTGTTTTTTGTAGTATCACCATGCAAATGGAAATCCCTTTAGTAAGTCAGAAACTGATTTCTCTCCACATCACATCTGTGTATCAACACTACACTGTATGGTACTTCTCAGAGCTGTCCCATCCCCTTCGGAGTCATCAAGCACAGATATAGGCAGCTAAACGTGCTGTTTGCTTTTTCTTTGCTGTTTTTCCCCCAAAGAGCCCTTCATTCCACTATGTTAGCGCAATCTACCATTATTTGACTAGAACTTTGAGTCCGATGGGCCCTACACTCCTTACCACAGGAGCTGAATTTAGCTGCTAACCCTAAGCAGAGCCATGTGAGCAGGGGCCCTGTGCGAGGGCCGACTGTTTCGTGTGAGCCCTAGGGGAGAGCACGGGCGGGCGGCCGGGCTGAAAGGCCACCAGGAGCTGCTCTGCCACCAGCTGTCACTTGAACAGCTTCACTCCTGAAGGAGGAAACTGTATTCCAGTTGCGATGGTGCTGTCTTCTGCGTCACTGGGAGAACTAAAGTCCTTTTCTTTGTCTCTTTTCTATATAACAAAACAACAGAGGGGGTTTGCTATACAGCAATGGCTGCTCTAGGTGTCCTGCTGTAACGGGGTGGAGGAGCAGCCCTTGGTGTGTGTGTGCTGGCTTTGCTCTCAAACTGACACCCAACCTTAATTTTATAGCTGGATTTTCGGACACCCCCAGGATTCGATCGTACGCGCAATGCTGAGATTGGCAACAAGGACATTAAATTTAAACATTTGGAGGAAGCTTTTACATCAGAGCACTGGCTTGTTAGAATATACAAGGTGAAACAACTAGACAACAGAGAGACACTGGATCATAAACCTAGAGTAACCAACATTGTACCGAAACAGAAGTATTTGTCAAAGAAGGTGGGTTCCCAGTGAAGTAACTTAAAGGGGTCTAGAGATGGCAGTTTATTTTTAATAGTGAATCACATAGCTGGTGAACTGTGTATTTCCAATAGCCAGAGTGTTACGGATACTGTCCATGTTAGTGTCCAATATCAGACCTGCCTGCTGGTAATAATTGTTAATTTACTGTCTGCTTAACTTAACAAGCATGTGAAGACAAAAGGCTAGATTTTTTTTATTATTATTATTAGGGAGAATGCTAGCTGAAAGTAAGAGTGTGTCACTGGCTGTTACAATTCTCAAGCCTTCATGTAACTGAAAGTATAATCTCTGAAGTTCATCAATTCATGTTTCAGTAACTATGGCTCACTAGTAAAACTGTGGAAGTTGCTTTCTGACTGTTTGAAAGTAGTGATGCCTAGAAGTTTAAAAATGGCAATTTTGTATGAAATAAATTAAATATGAAACTTTTGTTGACGGAACCGAAGTGTCTGGCTGCTTACTGTTTGAAGTCATGTGAACACTTTTGTACCTGTTAGCTGTGGGGTGCTATGTCTGCCTCTAAGGAAGATGTGCAGCAGGGCAGCTGGGGAGCATCGTAGCAGCCCTGTCTTTTATAACATGTACATACAAAGATATATTACAAAAAAAAAGGGAACCATGTCAGAAATAAAAGTTTAATAAACTGAACTAGTATTAAATAGTAGTAAATTTATACTGTTCCATAGAAGTAAGAGAAAGGAATGTTAAGAGGGGGCTGCTAAAAGTAAAGATGCAAGTTTATGTGAATTTGATCAGGTTCACAGTGTAAAGTATTTTGAATTGGAGTTGCCAGTGGAACTAGACATTAAAAAAAAAAAAAGTTTTTATATATAAACTTTACTGTGGCAAACATACCTAAAATCAGAAGCTAGTGTAACAAGCAAGGTTACATTTATTAAAAATAGATGCATTGGCTGCCCTTAAGTAAGTTGTGCATGTGTCAAGTTCTCTGCCTGAAGATGGGGTAAAAGCTAATGCACGTTCTGATCCATCACCAGCCCTTTCTGTATGTACAAGCTCTGCCTGTCCTTCAGAGAGCAGAGAGCCAGCAACAAGCGTGGCTCGAACGTCTCATCTGCAGCTTGCTAAGTACATAAGGCTCTGTAGTAGCTGCAAGTCTTGATTCAGCCCATCTCCTGTCACGCTGCCATTGTAAGGGCGACATTGCTCACAGTTCAGAAGTATAAAAAAAAGCAAAGTGCTGGTCTTTGACTCTGTGGAGATGTGTATTTGGCAGCCTCCCCAAGGCCGTCTGAGCACGGGGAGGGAGCAGGCAGAGCCGCTGCGGTGAGCGCGCAGCCCCCGGCGCCGCTGGGAGCAGGAGGAGGGTCTGAACTGCCCCCTCGGGGCAGGGCCTGAGGGCTGGAATGAGATTCGTTGTGTGAAAAATGCCGCTCCGAGCAAATGCGGCTCCCTCGCTCCGAATCAAATAGGGCAAGAGACGCAGGAAGCCTTTTTCTCCCCAAATACGTGTACGTCACCTTTGCTCTTTGGGCACGTTAGAGGTTCGTGTTGGCTTACTGTGAATTCTGCCTCAGCACCAGCTTCCAAAACAGTCATACATGTCTGGGGGGCAAGCCCCATGTGTATGGAGCTTGCCAAAGCACAAATGTTGGGTAGGAATCAACAATCCCCAAATTGAACATATTGAAGAGATAAGACCTTCGGTGAGGACTCGCCCTCTAGGCTCTTTAAATGCAGCTAAAGCTCAGACATTGAAATGCACATGATTAAAATGGGGTCAAGACTAAATCGCTAACTAACACATTGTATTCTGTTTTTCTTTTTAGACCTCCAAAAGGAAGCGTGGCTACATTAAGAATAAACTAATTTTAAAGAAAGGCAAGAGACCGAACAGGAAGACAGTTTAAAAACACTGTTCTGATTGCTAACACGAAGCAGTTGTCCTTGAGATAACCAGTCTTTGCCTTTAGCTCAAGTCATGTTTCACAGCAACATGAGGGTACAGAACCATCATTGGTCCAGATTATTGTACAAAACTTTCAGGCAATGTCTGATTAAAAATATTGGCTTATTGAGAACAGCTGTTTTAGATTTGTAATGTGAAGCAAGACAGAGCTGCTGTCCAAGTCTAGCAGCAGTTTGTTTTTTGCTTTTTTTTTTTTTTTTATTGGTACATATTATCCTTCAAATCTGTTGAGAATTTGGACTGACTGCACCAAAGAACCCTGTAATTTGGTCCTTGGCACATGCATCCTTGTCAATCTTTTCTGGAAGATACTGTTTAGCTGAATAGCAATATGTAAACTGGAATGGTGACATTTAAAATGACTTGTTTTCAACAATTAAGAGGAAATAGAGATCTCTGAAATTAAACTTTTAAAATAAGTAATTTGCTCCCATGATTGTTTTTAATGGTTTCTTTAAACATACGTTTTGCTGCAGGTTGGTTTTGATTTGGAGTGTAAAGAAGCAAAGCTGCAGTTGTCACGAGAGCTGGCGAGACATTAGCTGGTTGCTAGAGCTGGACAAGCTGCTGCTGTTGCAAAGGCGGGTGCAGCACTGCTGCCTTCCTTACCCTGTCACTTCCCAAGGGAGACCACATCTTGCCCGCCGTAGCTACGAGGGCTAAATTGGTATCCTCCTGAAAAGCTGGAATGACAGGAATGAATGCGGTAGTTGCAAACCACTGAGCACCGGAGCATGGTTGGTGCAGCAGAAGGGAAAGTCAACTCCTAGCGACGTGGTTACGTTGGTAAAACAAGCACAGCCTGTTTAAAACAACAACAACAACAAAAATACAGGTATTTAAAAAAAACACCTTTTCTGTGGCTATCAGAGGAAGAGGGTTTACAAGATGACCTCCTCGCCCCTACCTTCTCCTCTGAGCATAAAAGTTTTTTGGAAATCTATTTCTCTACTTTTTTTTTTTTTTTTTTTATTATTTAGAGTGCTTAAATCAATTGAAGAAATTCCTGCCATAATGCTATTTGCTTTGTCTTTTATATATATTTTTTTATGATTAAAACATCAAATTAAATGCACTAAAATATAAAGAGAGAGTGAACATGTTCATTTTCCAGCTATAGTAAAGACTATACAGACCTGAAAAAGTTTCTTTTAATAAAACAAAAGCAAAGGGTTTTGCAGTTTGTTTTCCTGGCACAGGATGTAACTTTTTTTTTTTATAGAAACAAAACTTATATCAGTAATTCGATGTAAAATGCAGAATAGTATGTACCTTTCGCAAAGAAAATGTAAATTTACAATATTCTGTGAGAATGTTACTGCTGAGTTTTTTCCCAAGATGTAGAATATTTTCTTTTGATTTTTGGTAGGGTTTTTTTTGACTCAAACGGTTTATACAGACCAATACTACAGCTGCAACATTTTCACAAAGGTAACGTAAATCTGGATTTCTGGCCCCTTGTCACTTGGAGATTTCTTTTTACTTTGTTGCTTTAAAGCTCAATGCAGACCAGTTGTTGACTGTAGGGGAAAATAAAGTTAATTCAAGTTTTGTGTTAAGGGTGTCATGGTGCGTCTGTTTCCATCAGCTTGAAAACATTTCCAAACAGTCTATTGATAACTTGAGTAACTCAACCTCCCTACTACCAATTTGCAGACCTTGCATCAGATTGCCACAGTGGAGCCACAGCAGGTCCTTAATGTCTTTCCAGTTTAAGTTAAACTTCTATTTCTGAAGCCTCCCCTTCAATACCACTAAGAATTTTTTTTTTAAATCTTAGCAGACAAGAGTTCTTTTAAACAGCATCAAAATAAGTGAATCTTACCTGATTGTATAGCATTTTTAAAACAACTTGCTATAATGCCAAGCTAATGCTGAGAAAAAGGACTTCTAACGTCAGCCTCAGCTGCCTGCCCCTTGCCGGAACCTTCTAAAATCTGCTCTCCCGGAGGGGCATGGAAGCTGCTACCCCCTTAACGGAAAGGAGAAGTTGCTTTCAGGTCCAACAGGCAGTCACTTAGAACAGGAAAACGAAGAAGAAAAACTGATCTCCTGAGACGAGATGACGGGTGTTGAATTACGACACGATCCGTCTCGCTTCCTGGGGCCCAGGCCCTGCGTCCCCGTTACCTGGTTCTCCAGCCACCCCGAGGGCAGCTGAGCCAGGCCAGGAGGGCCCAGCCCTGCAGGGCGGCCCTCGCGCCTGCCCCGCGCCCGGCTCCTGCCTCAGGGGCCGCCGGGCCAAGGAACCGGCTCAGCCAGGCTGCGGCCTCCAAGGAACCGGCTCAGCCAGGCTGCGGCATCCAGCAGCTCGGAAAGCAGGAAGGGAGGTGTCCGGGAGCCAGGATTGCCCACGTGTGTATTCCTGCCAACCAGCGCTGGTGAGAGCAACCACCACAGCTCTACGGTTACCCCTGGGGAAAGTGTTTAATGTGGGGAGGCGATTCCACAATGGGAAAAAAAAATAGTTAAATATCTTGCTATATTTACTCTTGAAAACAGCTTTGTGACGCAGTCCTCTCTACATATCAATTTTGTTATCAATAAAAAAGTGAAACTCCACTCTTTGTTCCTAGCTCTGTGGGTGGTTTGCGCAGTTTGGCATCACGCAGTCGCGCCGTTTGCGGGAGCTGCCGCCTTGCCGAGGCGCCCTCGTCCCACTCCCCCACGTGCTGTGCGGGACGGGGAAGCCCTCGGGAGGTGGGGGGAGAGCTGGGCAACTTGAGGGGACCTGCAAAGCACTCAAAACACGGGACAAATTTAAGTGTACCACCTTTGTGCAAGACAAATAAATAGCAAATTTGTTTGAAAGCCTAAGAACCTCCATGGCTGAGAGAGTTATTTTTGCCAGTTTGGCCCTCAGAGAGGCCTTGTGAGCTTGTGAACCAGAGTAGAGAGCCAGAAGTACCAGGGAACAGGGTTGTGGTTTGGTTTTGCCTTAGTCCTTCTCGCTTATGGACCCCTCTTGTGCCATCTCTGCTCTTCAGGGAGTAAAGTTACTCACGGGGCGGAGGAGCCCTCCCTGAGGCCTGCGTTAGCCGCAGGGCCCAGCTGTGGGGTGAACGGCCCCGGCCCTGGCAGCGCTGGCGTCACCCAGGCCCAGCAGCCCCGGCCTCCCCGGGCCGCTCAGCACCAGAACCAGCCTCCAGCTCCTCCAAGCTCGGCCGTGGAGCAGCCAAAGGAAAAAGACATCAGCGAGCGGCTTCTCCGGCTCTATTCACCACCACAGGTGGCTGCAGCTTTTTACCTAATAACAAAATGTTCTGGCACAACAGTTGCCAACAGTGCTAACAAATACTTAGAATAAACCAGTACTGCATTCACTGAAACCTGAAAAACACAGATCGGGACCAGTGAAGTCTCTGCTATGTCTGTTTTTCCCCAGCGACAGTGTTCACTGTTGCAGTACTTCAGCTACATCTTAAAATACAATTCCAATCACGAACCTCTGTCATTACAAACTTTAAGTGAAATATTATTTTCAGCACCAAGAGAATGCCATAACCTAGTTTGCTGTATGGTTGTTGAAATAAAGCATATGCTCCCCAGCCATGGCTGGGGCTGCCTGGCCCTATTTGCCCAGTGTTGTGTCCACCAAATTAAATTCACACTCACCTATAAGGCATGTGGCACTAACAACGGGGAAAAAGAGAAGGATTCGATTGGCAAGTGGCTGCCATGAGAGCGGTGAAAGCAGCTCACACTATCGAAGCTGAGCACCGCTCCAGGGCATGCGGGTAACCAAAGCACGAGTGCTCCAAAGGAAAGAGAAAGGGCATCCCACTGCTAGCTGAAACGAGTCTTTTATTCATGAGCATTGCCATTTTGAATCCACACAGTGTGACAGGGAGGCGAATCGAAGAGACTGCCAAGAGCATCTTTAAACGAGAGGGGTGTAAACTTGCGTTCTGACCATTTCTACTTTTAAGGAAGAAAAAAAGAAAGAAAGGAAGAAAAAGAAGAAAGAAAGAAAGTTGCATAGGCTTTCTACAGGTGTGCACAAAAAAAAAAAAAACACCTAAGGTACATGTAGGTTTTTACGTTACAATACATTGGCTACTTGAAATTATTCATACTGGCAAGTCCAAGACAGCTACTGGAACAACGTACAGAATAAGGCTCATGAATACTTAATTTTCAGTCTTGTAAAACATACGGAATACATAACCACCAGAAAAATGAAGTGACGCTTCTTGTGAGACTTGTTCTGGAATCTCTTGTTGATAACATCTTTTCAAAAAGGATTATTTTTATGCCTGCCTCTCCCAAGTTACTTTGGGCAAGAAAGCGGCAGCGGCACCAGGGGCCTCTTCCCAGCCTCTGAGCTCGCATTTCTCGGAGCACAAGGGGGAAGTTCTCGGCATGCAGAAACAACCAACCATGCAGACAGAAATCTTCAGTAAGTTACAAGCATAAAATTATTCCAGTTTTCACCCAAGAGAAGAGCTACAGCATCTCTGTAGCTTCGACACCAGCAGGGCTGCAAGAGGGCTCCTCTCCCAGGCGGCAGGCGCGCGCGCCTGGCCCACGGCTGCTTTAAACCGACATGTGCCCAGGTCTTTGGTGCAAGAAAGTGAAGTTCTGGGAGGACAATCCATGTGTTTGAATCTACATTTCCTATTGTTCTTTGTGGTGATTGAGTAAATTGGTAGAATAGATCTAATTACTTACCAGACTAACCTCTAAAACCAGAATGGATCTGTTATAAATTAACTCTTGCAGGCAATAAGGTATGGGATTTCCTGATGATAGTTGGTAGTAGTTCAGTGCCTCCTGCAAGAGCATCATTTTTATGTTGTTACAGAAAAACATTAACTATACCTAAAAATAAATTTTTTCTTAAAAAAAAAAAAGTGTCAGTTAGAAAACCAGGCTCATACAGTCCACATTTCTTTAAAAAATAGGATTTAAGTCATTAATAACACTAATCTTTCTAATGTGCAAGAAATAAAGTATATACAAGCAGACAAAATAGCATTTAGGAGGAAAAGGAGACCACAGCTCATTTAATAAGGATCTGAAGTTCAAAATTTAAAGATCTATTAAGTGTCATGTCCAAGTGAACAACTAATGGGATGTTTCCTCATGTACACACCTCTACAGAGCCTTTTCAGTTGCCTGCCCAAGAGATTTTAATATCTAGCAAAAAATAAACTATTATAAAATGCAAGACACCAGAACAGATATAAGCAGTGCTTCGACCTAAATATATTTGAGTAATAGCTACAAAGCATAAGCTCTTGTGTTAAGAAAGCAGACAAAAGGCACAAAATTAATCAGTACTACAGCAAGGTAGGCATCCATGCTACTGTATGTTAGAAATGTAGTGGTTATTTTAAAAGGGGCACTGTAAAAAGAAGCGCTGAGCAGAAGTCAGCACATCTTAGATTTGTTTCTTTTTGTCACTTTTTTTTTCTCAAAAAAAACATCTCATAACAAATACTAACTAAAAACACAACCGAGCTTTTAACAAGTCAGATTTTCAGAATCTGTTTTCTGATAGTCACAGTGTTGAGCTCACAGAGCAAGACGAAGCTACGGGGCTGTTTGCTTATTTACTTCCCAAGCCAGATGACATCCCTTAACATGTGCTTCATTAAGAGCCTTCTTATCTCAGGGCCCTCAGTTACAGAACAGGGACTTTTCCACCAGGAAACCGTCTCTCCGGGACAGCCGGCTGCGTCCGCCCTCTTCAGGAGGCGGCCCGAGAAACAAGCGCCCGGCCCGGACCAAGGAGCGTGGGCTGGCGGCACCCGAGCGCCTCCCAGCCCGAGCAGGACTCGGAGCGGGCGGCTACGAGGGACCCAGCGAAGCCCTCGAGGGAGGCGCAAGCCACGGAGCGGGGAGACGGCGGCGAGAGCAGAGCTCGAGGAGGCAGCGCTGCCGCTGCCAGGAGGGCAGAAACGTCGCGCCTGGGGGCAGGGAAGGGGCTCCTGGGGAGCGCGCGGTCCGCGCGTCCCGGCCACGGCCGAGCGCGCCGCGCGGCGACCGGCTGGACTGAGCGGCTGCCGTCAAGTGACACGTCACGTTGTAAGTGCAAAACGTTCTTGACAAAAGTGGAAAATAGAAAACCTTAACCAGGACTAATAAAAAAGTACTCTTAAATAGTAACATAGGGCCTGATCCTGCAAGCACACAACTCAGGGAACCCTACCCGATTCCAGTGAGAGTTTTATGCCCTAAAACTTAGAGAATAAGGTCTTTAAATCACTGTCAGTGTTTATACTTTGTTTACATATAGTGTAAATAATACACACACAAGCACACATACACACTGTGTGCACATAACGTGTGTGTGTGTGTGTGTGTTTGTGTGTGCGTGTGTCTGTACATACACACAGAATGGCTCCTGAATAAACTTGAGCTCGTGGTTATTTTGAGATGCATCATTCACAGTATATAGCCTCTCATTTCTATCTTCTGATAACAGGACTTCTTAAAGTTATATACTGTATCATTTTAATGCCTTTAAGGTAAATGTTGTGAGACAACAGCTCTCTTATCAATGGGTCTTCCAGAGAGGACTCAAGTACAGCCAGCTGTCGCCCTGCAAGAAAGGGAAAGGGAAAGTTTACAAACAAGATTTATACACATTTATACACACACACACACACAAATAGACACTAAAATACTACCAAATACTACAAGAAACCATAACTGTCATCTGAAAATTCGGTGCTTAATGCATTTACAACTAATTTGGGCAGGAGAAAAGAAATAAGAAGAGGGAGAAAAGCAAGTCTGAGAACTGCTGTTTTAAACAGCAGTATGAACAGGGCACCTTCACACTATGATCACACAGCAATTCCCTAATTAAGACTTATTTCCCCTTCTTCTCTCTAAGAAAGAGCAAAGCTTAACTAAGTGAAATCTATTTCACTTAAAAGTGGATGAAATCCAAAACTCTTTAATATCTCCACACGTATACTGGATAAACATCCCAAGATCACATTCTCTTCAATACGCCAAGATCAAGATTAGCAGGAGATGCATGTGCAGAGCATCTACAAATCAAGGTGTGCATTTCACACTAAAAATGCACAAGGAACGGCCCATTGCTCTTCCCTGAAAGCCAAAATCTAGCAACACAAAGGGAAGGAAAAACCCAGTGATCTATAGCAACAACAGCCCCTGGCAAAAACCCCAAGCCAATTCATTGTTATTGGCACCCCCACGCGCACAAAGATGCCTCCCAAAGTACCTACCTCTTTGGCAAAATATTTTGGTTTCCAGGGAGTTGTCAGAGCCGCGCGCTGCCTCTCCTCTGCCCGCTGTCTCTCTTCCAGGCGGTGCTTGTGCTCTGTGGCCGCGTCGATGTTTCCTTCCTTCAGAGAATTCGTGACGTGTTGCCAGAGGCGCCTGCGTGACCAAGGAGGGGCACACGTGAGTTACAGGAGGGTGAGAAAGCCTGTGGCTCCAGCCAGAGCCTCCAACCAAAGGGGCAGGCTCACAGCACGTTCTCCGTGCAGCTTTTCCAGATTTTCACCACATTTTCACACTTGCTCAGCTCCCAGTATTCTGCCCTCAAGTTAACTTTCCCAGTATCTCTCTCTGATGTCCCCAATTCTTTACAATCTGTTTGGAGGGAACAGGTTGTTTGGTTGGTTGGTTTTTATCATTTCTTGTTCCCATTTTCACTATTGATGATTCACCCTAAATGAGCAGGATCTACTCTGTGCTTACAAGCAGAAAACTTTCACATCATAAGGGAGTGTTAGGCAAAAGCCAGGAGTACATTAAATCTGGACACCAGCTGTCCCCACCAGGTTTACTAGCAGGGCAGCTGATGCACTGATCCTAAGCTTTAGATCCTAAGCCTTTCAGACCCATGCTGTATGTTGCCACTATTAACAGTAATTACCAGTTTATAACCAATGTTCTTTTTCCACGCACCTGGCACTACTCAGGTGCAAAGCTTTTTCACACAGTATTAGCCTAGTAACAACTTGGCCCAGAAAAACCCTGATGAGGAACTCAGCGAGCCTTTAACATCTTTCCAGGGCTTTTTAAATGAGTTTCTGTTTATAAGCTGATAAAGTGCATATCCTGCAGAAACACTTGGTATTTATAATTCGCTTACTAACATGAAAGTAGGGGGAAAATGAGTTTGTGATAAATAAGTAGAAAATGGAAGTAGAGAGCACATAAGTAGTAAAGAAAACATATTTCTAGATTAGAAGATGAAGCTCAGCTGACTTCTGCTTTTGATTTGCTTGATAGGGAGAGATGGGATCCACCTCCCTAGACAGGGCACAGCCAACAGGCTGCCCAACCCACTGAGGAGGACTTGAAACTAGGAAGGCTCGGGGAAGCAGAGAGCTAGAGGAGACCCTGCAGTCAGGGAAACAGCGCTCAGGCAGGGTTATCCCCAGCAATGGCACGCAGCTAAGTCAGTGCCTACAAGACAGGGTTTCCAGGTTCCTCCTGGAAACGAGCACACTCCAAGGCCCTCCGGAGAGCCCCAAGAGCCTGAGCACGAACACATGCAGGATGGAGAGGGCTGGAGCCTTCAGCCATCCCAGCACGTGCTGGAAGGACGGCCCAGCTGGGCACAGACGGAGCAGGAGGCTCCTGCAGGGCACCAAGGATGACCTCCTGGCCCAGGTGACAGAACAGCCAACAGAGAGAGGCTGTTGCTGGACCACATAGCAGCAGACAAGGAAGGGACTCTTGGAGATGTGAAGGTTGGGGGCAGCTGTGGCTGCAGTGACCATGGGATGGTGGATCCTGCAAGGAGGAAGCAGGATCAGAAATCTGGGCTTCAGGAGAGCAAACTTTAGCCAGTTCAGGAACCTGCTTAGAAGAATCCCATGGGATAATGGCCCGGGAGAAAGAGGGGTCCAAAAGAACTGGTTAATAGTCAAGGGTCTTCCAGGCTCAAGAACGCTACATCCCACTAAGCAAGAAGTTAAGAAAAGAGGGCAGGAAACGTGTATATATGAACAAGGATCTCCAGGCAAAACTCAAACAGAAGAAGAAAGTGTACAGAAGGCAGAAGCAGGAATATAGCAGGAATACTTGGCAGGAACATAGGGACCCTGCCCAAGTATGCAGGGATGGGATTAGCGAGGCCAAGATCCACTTGCAGTTGAATCTGGCAAGGAATGTCAAAAAGAGCAAGAAGGACTTTAAATTAATCAGGAACAAAAGGAACCAGGGAATCTAGGGAAAATGTGGCCCTGCTACAGAATGGGGCAAGGACTCTGGTGACGAATGACACGAGAAGGCAGATAATAAATATCATCTTTGCTCTAGTCTTTACTGCTAAGACCAGCCCTCAGGAATTCCAGACCCTGAAGACCTGGTAGGAAAATCTGGAGAAAAGGATACTTTCCCTCAGTGGAGGAAGGCCAGATTAGAGAACATTCAGGCAAACTTGACATCTGCAGACCCATGGCCCTGATGGGATGTACCCGCAAGTGCCGACAGAGCGGGCAGACATCACTGCTAAGCCCCTCTCAGTCATCTTGGAAAGATGATTGGAGATAAGGAAAGGTGCCTGAGGGCTGGAAGAAAGGTAATGTCACTCCAGTCTTCCAAAAGGGCAAGGAGAATTAGGGGAACTCCAGGCCAGTCAGCCTCATCTCCATCACTAGAAAAAACGGTGGAACAGCAGCTCACCCTGGATGTCATCTCTAAGCATGTAAAGGATACAAAGGTGGCCAAGAGTAGCCAGCATGGGCTCACAAAGGGGAAATCTGAGTAACTGGACATGATATGACCACTCAGAAGCGTAGGCAGAACACTGCATTACCTTTTTCAAATGCTTATTAAAATCAATACAAGTATCTTTCCTTTACAAAATTAAAATATACGTCATTATAATGTAATTTATGTACTGAAGAACCAACACATGCAGCTTCAGCTACTTGTGCCTAGATCAACACGCCGTAAGAAAGGCCCTTTTGAACCGTGCCATTTTTAGTTGCTCTTTTCTTCACTGCTCTGTTCTCACCTGAAGTTCAGAAGAAAATACTCTAACGCCTCTCTGCTCACCTCGATTCCAGTGGACCTTGTTTGGCTATTGGTCTAATCTTCTTCCTGGTAACAGGTAGCTTGGTCGTGTCAATCACTTTGGTTTCTCCGTTGCTGTAAGTGAATTCCAGCGTACCATTCCACTCTCCCTGGGCCTTGCACACGATGGTGTTAGTGGGATTATGCTTCACTTCAGCTGTCACCCTACGAGAAGAGGAAGAAAAAAAAAAAAGAGCACAAAAATAATTGGTACCGTTTATTATCAGCATATAGAAAGGCTATTACAACTAAGCCTACAAGTAGCTTTCTACATCTACAAAATAATATTTCAAGTAGAGGCCATCCCTAAAAAGAACAACTCATAAGCTCTAATGTTTGAAGCAAAGCTTTTGTACCACACAAAAAAGCACAGCAGTAACCGACTTAAAATGCTAACGATCAGCTTTAACCCATAAGTCAAAGACCATTACCTCAATGGCCTAAGAAGCAATCCCTAACATTAGTCTGAAATTTTCAGAACAAGATTTTAAAGCTCATGTTTCACACCTGAATTCTAATGTTGTGATATACTCTAGTAAAAAATATTTATCCCAGACCAACAAATTTATTTTTCAGCTTCTCAGAGGCAACAATTAAAATCCCCTCAATGGCTCCAGTGCCACAGTCTGGGAGCAAGCAGAACAGAGAAGCAGGATGGGAAGAGCAAAATACAGCAGGGAGTGTAGGCACACACGGATATGCAGGCATACACACATGCGTGTGTTTAACAACACATGACGAATAATTTATAAACTTAAATAAGTATTAAAATTCTTAAAGACAGCAAATTTGCACTCTCTTTGATGGGTGCCCACTACTAATCTGTG